CGCGAGGCCAGGTCGAGCAAAGAAGGGCACGCGCGAGACGGTCCAGCGAGACGATGACGAGGACTTAGTGAAGAGGTCGGGCGATTCACGAAAGAGGGCTCGCGTGCGGTTCTACCACGCGAGAGGCAAAATGCGCGAAAGATGTGAGCGGCGAAGTCGCGAGCGAAAGGAGGCTGGCGCAGGGGTCGAACCAGCGATGGGCATGTAACGCCCCACTTTATTTTAAAAGATTTACCGTTTTTATTTAATAAAAATCACTATAAATTTTTCGCAAATCTCAATTTAATTACAAACTTAGTGGGCGCTACTTATTTAACCAAAAACTTTTATCCGAAAATGCCAAAACATCAGATACAGACAGCATGCACGAATAATAAGTCATAACCAAACTAGCATTCATCAAGTTCCCACTTATCAAAAGATTATTCATGATTCTCGAGTTCAAACGACATAATCAAAATATCCCAATTTCAACATAAGTTCATTTAATGAGCGGAAGCATAAATAAATAAAACAAGAATAAAGGACATAACCACCACACGTCTTGTCTCGTCACCTGCCAACTGCTTAACCTGCATCAGTTACGAGCAGGTGGGAGTGAGTACAGTTAAATATCGTACTCACATTATGCATATGAATAACTCAAAATATGTTAATATGGTATGGTCGCAGCATGAACATAAACAATAATAAATCATGTCTCATCTCTAGTCATATCTATGACCTTGCCATCGCTATGGCTCACTCATGTGCACATCTACGCTCAGCCGTACCATATCTATAATACGGGAGTGCGTGCCACGTAAGGACACGGCCTTATCTGAAGGACTTCAAGAGATTTATCTCATAAGGGTAACCGTATCTATGGGGACAACCGTACCGATGGCTATCGATAGGCCACATGCTCACACGCATACTTAGATCATACCGGTTTAACACATTCAAACAAATAAACACATATGCACAGTAAATTTTAGAATAACAACCCACCTGGATTCCGGATTGATAATAACTCAAAGAAATTGGTAGTAGGTCGAGGCTGGACTCCTCAATTACCTACATTGATTCAAGATGCTACAATCAACATCTATCTTGACTTTAAACGGAAAACACAAAACAGACCTAGTCGAACTTGTTTCGACTAAGTAGTTCGTGAAGTCCTGTGGATGTTGGAACACTAAGACTCGGCACTAAACTCGACCAAACCACATATGGAGTTCACATAAATCCATCTAAGGATTGACAAAGTCAAACTCATATCAAAACGAAAAGCAAGTCGTCTCCCAACTTTTATTTCAAAATCATGTGCGAAAATAGTAAACATTAATCACATGAAAAATAGATGGTCATGCTACCCTACGACTTAGGCTCTGAAACTTTACACAAAATTACATCTTTCAGTAATAAGTAAAACCATAAATTTTCAACTTTAAACTCAGAGCACATTAATTTATAAAATTCCTACAAGAAATCAGCAAAAACACAACTAAATTCATATCTGAACCAAATGAACGATTCAGGAGTTGAAAATTTAACACAACAAGCTACAGCATTACAGAGACTACATGTAAAAATATCAGCCCTGGACATTAAATGTGATAATTTTAAAAATTCATGCAAGATTTTTGCAGTTATCGAATATAAATCAAAACAGGACTAAAATGAACTCCAAAAATTTTTATCTTTTAACAGCATGAATATACACTCAAAATAAACATCTCAACCAAGTTTCAGAATTTTACAACAACTAACCGAATAGTAATTCAAACAACTTTCTGCACATTCAGCAAATAAATTATTTACCCTATCAAACTTAGTCCAAAAATTCTAAAAATTTAACACATCATATAATAACATCAGAGGTACAACATACCAAACTTTCAAGTAATTTGAATCAAGAACCAATTTATTAAGAATTAAACAATATTCTGATCAGAATTCAATCTATTTATCAAAAATAGCTACAAGCCTCTAAAAATTACGAACATTTTACACGAGGCTGCCAATGAACAGGAAGCATACTCCTCAAAATTTCAAGTCATTCCGAGAAGCGTGCTATTTTTAAAAAATCAAACACCAAAACAGCGATATATATGCTCGACAGCTTAGCAATTAATTCATAACATGAAATTTCTCGTCCGAGGCCTTCTCATAAGGCCAAGGACTCGACATCGTTCCAATATCCACTGACTTACACGACTTTCAGGGTCTCGTTCAATTTCTCATAATTGAAGAGATACCGAACGACATGAACGACACATAAAATCACGATTTTTCACATATTCCAAATTGAACACATATATAAAATCGCAAGAGCACATCACGATAATAAAGCACATAACGAAATCAAATATGTATATATATGATTTAAACGAGACGGGATTTCGCCTATGTACCGTCCTCAGGAATACTCGGAAAATAGAACGAAAGACGAACGGGGATGACGGGCTCGACGGATTCTCGCGTCTCGCCGGAAAAAGGGGTGCAGCAGCGGCTGTTCTCGGCTGCTCGGTTGCTGTGGCGCTCGATGCTTGAGACGGGGAGCAGCATACGGCGAAGGAAGGCTTGCCGGAGGAGGACAGTGGCGGAGAAGGGTCGCTCGCGGTGGAGGGTCGCCGGAACTCGGGCCTGCTCGCAGAGGTGGGTCACGGCCGGGAATGGCTCTGCTCGCCGGTGGAAGGCGATGCTGGTTCACGGCGGCGCGCGGACAGGGGAGGTCGTCGAAGTTGCAGATTCGCCGGGTTTCGCGAGCGGTGATGACGATCGAGGGCTGGGGACCTGCTTGAGAGCTCTCGTCGTCGGGGTTGCAGCGGCTATGGGGGTTCGCCGGGAGGGCTCGCGACGCTGGTCGGATCTGCTGCGACGGGAGATGGTGACCGGATTTTGATGATGGGAGAATGATGAGATGATGAGGACTGATGATCGGAGAACGATGGTGAGAAGCTTGGTGACGGGCAAAAAAAACAGAAAAAGGAACGAGGGGAAGAGATTGGACTGAGGGTTGCGATCGATGAGAAAGAAAAATATGTCTGAGGAAGCTGCGATGTGCGCCTGATGAAAAGGGATTACATACATACATAATAATATTAGGTTAAGAGTTCTTGTTGCCTAAGAAAAGAAATCTCACGAGCGTAGGACAGAGAAAAGGAAAATCAGCCGGGCCGGGTGACGGGTTCGGGCCAGACGGTTGGGTTCAAAGAATATGGTTCTCTCGGGCTCGATTTCTCAGTTTTTCGATCGACTTAGCCAAAATAAAAATTGGCTCGTTTCGCACAATAATTTAAAATAAGATAAAACTCTGCTATTATAATAAAATATATTTCACACATTATTAATTAAATAATAATACACATTTTAGCATTTAATAGACAATTAGGCATTTAAATAAAATATTAATAACAATAATAAAAATAATAATAATAATGACAATAATATTAAATAAAATTCTAATTATTACATAAACGAACGGGGCGCTACAGTCTACCCACCTTACAAAGAATTCCGTCCTCGGAATTCGAAATAGAAACTACGACACGATGCATATGAAAATAAGAGGGGAAAACATCAAAACATAAAACTCGGATATCTCCTCCGAATTTTCGGTCCCCCTCCTCCCAAGTCACCTTGTCTTGACAACCACCACTGGACTTTGACGAGTACCCCTCCCGGCCTTTTTCTAAAAGTCATCGGTACCTCCAAACAGGTAGGGTTCTGCCTATCACGCAGCTCGTCACATCTCACATGTACTCCGAGATCACGCACACGTTTCCTCCATCAAGAGGCATAAGTCCATCAAGAGGCATAAGACGTGTCATGCATCCTCGCGAGCTCCGGTGGTGAAGTCAACCATCAGGCTAAATCATTGACTTGGTCATGAGTCAAAATAGGGCTGCGTACTTGTGGTAGTAACCAAAAGAACGGCATACTCCACCTCTATTCGTACCAGCCACCTCGCATGGGAAGGAATTCTCACACTCTACTCATCTATCAATACACAAGACCCTAACCGGTCCTTACGTGTCTTGATAGCATACTCCAACGAAATCAACATATAGGGCTGACTTGTTGTATCGAGCTTCCATCTCGTGCCGGGGCCACGGTAGAAAACTCGATTACTACGCTGACATGATCTGTGCGTCCCTATAAAATAGGCCGTCACGAAAATCCCATACGGACGGCTAACAATCCACAATAACACTATATCCTCAACACCGATACCTACAGAACACACGGCTCTGGCCCATTTGAAAACCCTTGAGTCCAGATGACAGAAGAGAGATTTCAAGAAATGGCAGATCTATTCACTCTATCAATAACCGAGATGACTTTCTTCTACCTTGCTCAGAGATTCAAGTTGATTCGCTTCCTGCTAAAGACTACCTTGTCCCAGGATTTTTTATCATACTTATTATGGGTATTAATAGGGACGCAGGAAAAACCTAGGGAGCAGTAAGGGCTCATTCAGTGAGTAACCATCTTATCTGGATGAATATAACAAGTGTTCCGCGCGAGCTATAGTTAGCCCGGCGGGTGAGGTCTAGATTGATCCCAGGAACCGACAGCCCCCTCTCTTTAGCTCAACTCTTAGATCTCTTTATTTCCTCCTCCTCCTTATTTCCCCCTCCTCCTTATTTCCCCCTCCTGGGTGCATTTTCCGGAGTGCCCCCTGGAATACTTTGAGGAGAGTTTACTCCTATTTGTTCTTGACCGGTAGTCAAGTAGGTGCGAAGACACTAGACCAAAAGGAGTGACTATCGCCAATGCCTTCGTCGAGGTTTTATGCAGCAAGTAGGCGAAAACAATTCTTGATTGTTGAAATTTTGAGCAAGGCTCGATGTAATTGACCATGATTCATTTGGTTCTGGACTCATGCTTGACTGACCGAGCTACCTTTTGATTCGATCCTTAGCCAACGGTCAATGGAGCTCCAAGATGAGCTGTTAGGCACGAAAGCAAGCCCGGATACAAAAGAAAAGAAAAAGAGACACAAAGATTTAAGGTCATTTCTTCAAACTGCCCTCCATTTCTAAGTTCATAGCTTTTGTGGTAGCTTCATCGATATTACCTACCAAATAAAAGGCTTGTTCAGGAAGACCGCTATTCTTAATATTATATTTAGCGCTCAGTTGGCATAGACCAAGGGTTAACCTACACATTGTTAGAGCCTTAAGATAAATTGGAGACAGGTCAACACTTAGACGAGACAAATAATTGAGGCAAATCTATCTCTCCGGCGAGCTAGAACAAGAGTAGAGGAGACTTACCTATACCCAAAGGCAGCCCAAGGTATCTTGAAGAGGAACTCAAATTTATGACTTCACTTCGCTTCGCTTTATAACAGATAAGTACACTCAATTTCATTGATCCTGGTCGTGGCGGGACCAAGCGGGTTCATCAACCTTGTTTGATACCGTTGTCAACAACTCTACCCTTGCCGACTCGAATAACAACTCGAATGCGGTTTAGGAAATATCGACTAGATGTTCGAAAACAATCTCCTATCGCAGAATCGGTCTCACGATTAGGGATGCTTGATATTCTCATACTAACGATCTAACATCAAAACTCTTTCACTCTTCGTAGGTCTCGATCCCTACGAAGTATACATAGTCTCCAATCGAGACTCGGGACACTGCCCGAAAAGGATGAGGGACCTAAATCTCGCAATCTCGAGAGAATTTCACATAAGATAAAGGAAAACTAATCGACAAGTCTCACATATCGAGAGTCGTTGATTAGGGATTTCATACAACGGTTCGGTTTGGAGTTTAAGGCACTGTCACCCGAGAGATGGCACACACACAGGCGCTGCATAAGCGGGGCGCCGGGACGTGTGCATGCACCTGTTCAGGGACCAGCTGCAAGATCAAGGTTTGGCCGTACACACTGCCTGGAGAGTTCCTGCGTTCGGTGCGGCGGCAGCTCTCGTGCGAGTCAACGGTCGGCCACTGCAGTTGGCCTCACGTCTCTCAGCACGGGCGTGCGGGCTCGGCCACCACTTCACGTGGCTACACCCATCAAGGTTCGGCGTTCAGTTTAAGGTACACACCAGAAATTTCAATTTCCGGGTCCATAGAATCCTAGATACTCAGATAGGAAAAAGGCTTCCTTACAAGACTTCTCGAACTACAACAGTTTAAGCATCACTGTTGAGCTACAATTTCCCATAGGAATCGAACATTGGCATCACTGCCGGGAAAAATCCTAACCTCGGCGATCATCGCCGAATATTAGAATGGTTAGCTCGCTTGACCCTTCCGACTAATAATGTCGACCGTCACGACAGCATTAACTCAAGTAGCTAATCGTGCCGGCGGTCCTAAACGAGATCGACCACATATACAACTATAGCCTCCACACTTCGAGGTCTAGCGTAAAGCTTCCCTCGCAAGTGTTTCCAGCTAACATCATAATACCAATCAGATTAAGTCACATAGAGCACATAAACATGAAAGTTGACGAAAAGCTAATTTTTGAAAATTCACAATTCATTTTGGGAAACCTAAACATGAACTAGCACAAATTTTTAGCATGCTTGTTGAATTTAAAATGCATATAGTTTCCAATTTACAGATCATATCATGATGAAACGACTTGAAAAATATCCCTAACTCATGCCTCTATCACTTTCATGAAGAACACTTAGGCGGATAAAGTCAGTTAAAGGCACATGATACAGAAAACATTCAAAACATGGGTGCAGTGGATAAATAAAGATATGCAGCTTGACAGGTTCTCAGTGTATGCACAATAACCGAAGCTACAGACATGATCTTATTGAAATTCCAAAACCCCAAGGTAGATAATTCAATTCTCTATAACTTATTTGAAGACCCCATTGGCAAATTATAACACTATCAACAATTTTTAATATAAAACATTTAGTTTGCAAAAACAGCCAGAGAACAATTTTTCGAAAATACAGCACCTTAGTAAAATTTAAACAACTCAAGCTAAACAACTCCAATTCATACAAACTCAAAACCAATATAATCTACACATAGAAATATACAAATTTCATGAAGAAGACTGTTTCATAAGAATATGTTTAGGTCACCTAAACCGAGTACACATTCAACACTTAAACAAAATTCTGGTTTCATGAAAATTAGATGTACATTCCACTTCGAAAAATTATATAAAATCAACTGGAATTCCAAATCATATAAACCAAAAGCCTGCAGAAACTACACAAGGAAAGCTACAAATTTTATGAAGAGAATGTTTACATATCATCACGTTAAGGGCATCAATTTAGAGCATACAGTTCATGTATACACCCAGTCACTGCTTCAAAATTCTGGGCATAACACCAACTTAGAAAAATCATATAAAATCAACCAAAATTCGAAATTACATAATTTTAATTCCTACGGGCAGCTTATATCATATACTACATTTGTCATGAAGAACACATTTCCATTCAGGCATGTTAAGATCATAATAAATAGCCATGAACTAAAATCAAATCCTTCTGCCCGAGTTTATCAAAACAGCATGCTCGACGAACTTTGAAAAATCATAACAAATTCATTTTAACCCCAAATCACAAAATTCTAAAACTCAAAGAAACTTCATTCAAAGCACTACGAAGAAAACTTGTTCAAGAAATATCATCTTGTTGGACAAAAACAGAGCCTAAATGAAGCTCGAAAAATTTAGTTTTCATGCCTTTGACAACTTGAAATATTTGTACCACAAGATGGTTTCAGAATCACGTAAATTACACGTTAAGCAAGCCTCGATATCAATACTTTAAGACTTAAACATCAATATCATCAAACACATTGTCCGAGGTCCAACTCGGTCTTATTAAAACAAGATAGAAAAATAAAGTCTTATGGCCTTCACTTGAATTATTACATCTTTTAGTTTGATAATATATAACAATTCACATTAATACATAAATTCAACCTCAATCATCGGAGATCCTAATGCATCACATGAATCTGACCAAACCTATCATGATATAAATGAGACTCTCAACCTAATACACTTATCTCATCATATCACATAAAGGGAAATCAATAAATCACATAATCCTTATCTCTTACCCAACTAACCATTCTTCGAGCTAGCACGAACTCACCCTTACTAAGGCGTAAGAGACATTAAACACATAACATACCAGAGGTTGAACAGAGGCCATAAACATCCATAAAAATGGTAGCCTATAAGATATTGACTCATTTCATAATTTTCGAAACCTGACAAAGGTCCGAAGAGGGAGAATACATTCTCGGTTCTCATTGACCGGGTCCTCACTTGAAGACATTGAATATAATTATATAGCAAGGGAAACTGCTATGGGCATAACTTATCTCGATAACAACATACTGAACCTCATAGCGAGGAACCTCTAGAGTCCGAACTTAACTCTATATCACCAGAGTTCAACATCAAACACTAGAGTTCACATTAAACCAAAGGTGGATAGATTTCCTAAGCCCCAAATAATTACATGATATATATCCATATGTCCATTCACATCACAAGTAGTTTCATTGCTACTTATGTAAAAATACAAAATTTTACAATATAAGTATTTTCATTGATGCTTATAAAACATACCTTTAAGCAGCGCGGCGTGACAAAGACGAGTGGTCGGATACAATTTCTAAACACTTAATCACATATAAACAGTCTACAGAAACGCAGACTGGCTCTGATACCAAACTGTAACGCCCCACTTTATTTTAAAAGATTTACCGTTTTTATTTAATAAAAATCACTATAAATTTTTTGCAAATCTCAATTTAATTAAAAACTTAGTGGGCGCTACTTATTTAACCAAAAACTTTTATCCGAAAATGCCAAAACATCAGATACAGACAGCATGCACGAATAATAAGTCATAACCAAACTAGCATTCATCAAGTTCCCACTTATCAAAAGATTATTCATGATTCTCGAGTTCAAACGACATAATCAAAATATCCCAATTTCAACATAAGTTCATTAAATGAGCGGAAGCATAAATAAATAAAACAAGAATAAAGGACATAACCACCACCCGTCTTGTCTCGTCACCTGCCAACTGCTTAACCTGCATCAGTTACGAGCAGGTGGGAGTGAGTACAGTTAAATATCGTACTCACACTATGCATATGAATAACTGAAAATATGTTAATATGGTATGGTCGTAGCATGAACATAAACAATAATAAATCATGTCTCATCTCTAGTCATATCTATGACCTTGCCATCGCTATGGCTCACTCATGTGCACATCTACGCTCAGCCGTACCATATCTATAATACGGGAGTGCGTGCCACGTAAGGACACGGCCTTATCTGAAGGACTTAAAGAGACTTACCTCATAAGGGTAACCGTATCTACGGGGACAACCGTACCGATGGCTATCGATAGGCCACATGCTCACACGCATACTTAGATCATACCGGTTTAACACATTCAAACAAATAAACACATATGCACAGTAAATTTTAGAATAACAACCCACCTGGATTCCGGATTGATAATTAACTCAAAGCAATTGGTAGTAGGTCGAGGCTGGAGTCCTCAATTACCTACATTGAGTCAAGATGCTACAATCAACATCTATCTTGACTTTAAACGGAAAACACAAAACATACCTAGTCGAACTTGTTTCGACTAAGTAGTTCGTGAAGTCCTGTGGATGTTGGAACACTAAGACTCGGCACTAAACTCGACCAAACCATATATGGAGTTCACGTAAATCCATCTAAGGATTGACCAAGTCAAACTCACATCAAAACGAAAAGCAAGTCGATTCCCAACTTTTATTTCAAAATCATGTTACAAAAATAGTAAACATTAATCACATGAAAAATAGATGGTCATGCTACCCTACGACTTAGGCTCTGAAATTTTACACAAAAGTACATCTTCCAGTAATAAGTAAAACCATAAATTTTCAACTTTAAACTCAGAGCACATTAATTTATAAAATTCCTACAAGAAATCAGCAAAAACACAACTGAATTCATATCAGAACCAAATGAACGATTCAGAACTTGAAAATTTAACACAACAAGCTACAGCATTATAGAGACAACATGTAAAAATATCAGCCTTGGACA